ATGATCTACAGACTGGGCAAAGTCTATTAGATGAGACTTTCTTTAACAAGGTGAAGCATGTTAAACTGATGTACATGATGTGGAGGTCCTGGTGTTGGACTGGGGTGAACAAGGTCAGAAGTCAGACCAACACCAGGTTACAGTCCAACAGGTTTATTTGAACTCAAGCTTTGAGTGTTCCGCCTTCGTCAGGTAAAGTGAGAGAGAAGCACACAGACAGAATTTATAGGCAGAGAGATCAAAAGATCATACAAATTGTTGAGTGGAGTGTCAACAGGCCGAATAATAGGTCTCTGCAGGTGATCAAAAGTGTTAGGCAGTGTGAGTAAAGTGTCAACAGCTGACTAACAAGAGAAGGGATGACTTATGATCCAATTAAAACAAGGCAGAGAGATAATTACAAAAACATTTAAAATAAGGTGGTGCAGGAGACAAACCAAATGTCTGGACTGACATAATAGGGGTAAGAGTCATATGCCAAGGGTCTAACCAAAGTAATAAGTAATCCAAAACTGTACAAACTAATTAAGGTAAAAAGAGATCATAACAATTTATCAAGGTGCTAGTGTTGAAATAGGATAGTAAGGAAGATTTTACAAATACAGAAGTGTGGTAGGGTCACGTAGCGTTGCTCGGTGATTCTCAAAGGCCGCTTTGAAGGATGCTTACCTGAAGATCCAACTAATATGCATATAGTAGCAGGCAAACGGCATTTATTTGGCAGATTTAAAACAAAAAAAAGGTGCTAGTGGAATGACCCCTTTGTCATTTTGCACTTGGAGACTAGAAATATGCAGAACATAGAACACAGAAACAGAGCAAATGACTGCAACAAGGTGCCTCAACGCAAACAAAATTCTAATCATACACTTTGTTCCCATACCATGTCAAATAGTTCTTTCAATACACTCATCTAATCTTCAACACTGACACAGCTCCTGCCACAATGAGAAACTGAAATAACAACAGGCAACGCAGACAACAAGGTGTAGAGCTGGATGAGCACAGCAGACCAAGCAGCATCATACGAGCAGGAAGGCTGACGTTTCAGGCCTAGACCCTTCATCAGAAAAGGTCAATGTAGACACACCTGTTTGCAAATCCACTGCCACGTTTTAATCATCAAACAAACTGAATGAAGATATCGAACAAGTTAATCATTAGAGTAGACTTTGTGCATATGGGGTGGGGCAGAATGAGCTCAGCAGCACTTGGGCACAATTCAAAGACCTCTATCCCCTCCCACCTGCTGCTAATTCTTGCTGGGACATGCTCCCATGAGTACTAAAGTAAGCAACTCTCTGGTATTGATCCAAAGCAGTTTTACAACTGGATGGGGAAATGGAGAGGGGGAGCAACAGGAAAAGAAGACAGAGATAGAGGGAGGGACAGAAGGGATTATAGTTGAGCTTAGCACAGCTATTTTGTGCATTTAAAATTACAGTTAATTAAGAGTCACATAAATTGTTAACCTTAGCATTGTGACGCCAAAAGAAGAAAGAACGAGCATATTCAGAACAGACTAGGGAAACTGAACATAGTACTTAAAAATTCTGTACTGCTCTCATCATTTGGATTATGGAAAGAATGTTGATGCAAATTTCAAGATCACAAAGATTACTAGTGAGGTGGTCAGAGACGTCCTGTGTGCTGAACAAAGAATTCATCATTTCAAAATCCTTCACAATGAACTCCATCAGCCATGTTTCTGCCCATTTCACCATCATGAACCCTATAATTATTCTTGTCGCTACTTACAGTATTACTTTGCTAAGTTTTGCACCATCTACCAGAGTCTGGATTGTTCATTAAAGAATAATGAATTGAAATTAACCCGAGGAACAATATTAAATAAAAACCTTCCAATCTAAAGCAAACATCCACCTTCCATTACCTCCTGCCACTGAGCCTACTTCATATCAATGTCATTACTTTCCTCCTAACACCATGGATTTCCAGCTTATAACGCTGCTGCAAGCTTGTTTGTTTAAGAGATTCAAAACTGACCCAAATGGAGTTCTTCCAGAGGTGCCTGCAAGAGTACAGGTCGCATGTAAGTAAATGGAAGCAAACAATGTTCTGGACATGAGCCTAGAGAATTTGGAACCCTAGATAATACTGACAAAAGGGATAATTCCTCTTAAACCTCCATTAATATCATAATACCATGAAAATTAAGAGAAGTAGTAACTTAAGGAAGGACTATTTACAATGTAATGGTGCCCTTATTCTGACGAGGAACTTTGTGGAAAATCCCCTCCATTATTCACTTACTTCAGCATTTACTGAAGGGTAACGGTTCTCAAGAGTCACTTATAGGATTCTGAGAGTGAAACAGATGCAATTCAATATTACTTCAAAAAAAAAAAAAAAAACGACTAACTGACAAAATACTCAAAAATAACCCATTTGAAGTTCTGAAGCTTTGCCAGTGATCAGGTTAAGGAAGACATGCATTGTACAAATTGCAGTGACACTAACCATTCAGATGTATCCAGCACTTAGAAAGCCAGTACATCAAGTAGAAATATTCCCTTCAGGAAATCTCATTAGATGATTAACAAATGGGGCAGCTGGCGCACTTAAACTACAAGGAGGACTAAAATCAAAAATGTACGACAAAAACCTTTCCCAAACCAGAGGTGTCTGATGTGTTTTGGGCTCCCTTTTAGGAGGAGTTAGTTGTAAGGGGAGGGACCCTTTGGCCAATTACGTATGCGAATCGGCACAAGACAACAGCGCTTCAGAGGAGGCACCTCAGCACTGAGGATGTCACCTAGTAAGGGGATGAGAAGTCTGCTATCAAACCTCCCAGCTCAGCAAACACACCATCTACAACCAGCACCCAAACCCTGAACCTTTTTCTCTCTCTACTGAGGCTGCCAGTCCTGCTGAATGCCTCCAATACTAGCTTTTTTTCTATTCAGTTCTCCAACATCAACAGTACTTTGCTTTTGAGTGTTTAATTCACTGCCACTTCTCTTCCAGCTATGCCCACCCATCAGGAACAGGTTCTGCTCTTCTCTGAAATGGCATTGTTGTTCGAATCTTCAGACTTGTTCACTTTCACTGCTTTCTATTCCCCTCCCTAGTGTTTGCTAACCAAAACTCACTTTCACAGCCATATCTCCTTCCTCATAAATCCAGCTCTGATCTATCCCATGCGGATTCCAACTGAAATTTCATCCTTCACGTTTCACAAACGCAGAACTGCAGGTATCTCTAAGCCATACAATGCTCCTCAGGCAACTATTCTCTGTGTATCCCGAGATCCACAGTCACTGCCATGTGTTGCCATATGTTCTCCCCAATTCTATTTCATTCTGAAGAACAGTTATAATGCGCTTGAAACGTTACCTCTCTCTCTCTATAAATGCTGCTAAGCCCAAGTTTTCCCAAAAGTCTATTTCACATCTCCAGAATCAGTGGCTTTTTGCTTTTAAAGTTTACTAGCTGCTACAGAAGAGCTCATGTATTAGGATCCTTTGGCACACATGAATGAATGTCTGTGGATACTCATCATCAGGGAGCCCTCCATTTATTTCCCAGACCTCTATTCACAATGGACAGCACAGCAACTTTCATCCAACTGTGTTGGACCAAAACTCAAAAAACAAAAAACTTACAAGATTGAAAAGTAATGTCAAAATAAAACATCTTCATTTTTGTCACCCAAGACTCAAGGCTGAGTTCTTGGACAGATGTGTTCTGTCTGATTGTCAATGGGTGCCCAATTTCAGACAGACCAGACCATTTGAGAGCCTGATTGAGTGGTAGTGACATCTGATGAAGATGGCGTGGTAACCGACTGGAGATCAGATATGGAGGAGTATTTAGTCAAAGGCTCTGATCCCCCCACACACACACACTTTATGCATTCAGAGTTGCTACAGTGTACAAAGCTGTTTAAAAGTCTCAAGCTTTTTGTAGTCCTCATTCACTACAAATCAGGAGAGAGAATAGTGCAGTTCACCTGACAAATTCCTGAAAATTGGGTTTATGGTAAAATTAGCTAGCGCACACTCCTAGAAATACAGTGTATCTTAAAATTTCTCAAACCACAACATTTCAGCTTGTGTACCTTTATATTACTGGGAAAGACTTGGATGAAAATGGTACTTTAACACCTGCCAGAATGAAGTGCATTTCAAAAATTAAAAAAATCCTGTGAATCAGATTTGGTGAAAAATCTGATATTAGTTTTAGAACTGAAGTATTGTTCTATCAATCTCACCAGTGGTGTTCCAGCATTGGTAAACATAATGTGTACAATGTGGTCACAATGTAATGTTCTTGGCACACACTCAACTCTCAACATACAAACAATACATACATTTGTGTTGAAAACACAGCCATTAGATCTGGCAGCAAATCACAGACCACGACTGATCTGTAGCAACAAAGTTTGAAGTAGCCACTGTCAGTTTCAAAACAACGTAATTCAAGTATTAACTTGGGAGCACAGTCCAAAAGATGTGGAGGCTAGGTAGATTGGCCATGCTAAATTGCCCATAGCGTTCAGGGCTGTGTAGGTTAGGTGCATTAGCCATGGGAACTGCAGGGTTATACAGATAGGGTAGGGGGATGGGTTAGGGTGGGATGCTCTTCAGAGGGTTGGAGTGAACTTGTTGGGCCGAATGGCCTGTTTCCACACTCTGGGATTTCTATGAATTCTATGACGATGCATTTCATTAAGAGTAGGGATGGGAGAAAGTGAAAACTCAAGGATTCCCTTGTAGGTCAACGTAAGAGAAGATTTACAAATACTGAATTGCATTAAATCTCTTGATAATGGTGATTCACCCTCAGCCCTAATACA